TGCCAAGCTGGAATGTAGTGGCTTGATCTCGGCTCACTGCAACCTCTGCCTCCTGGGTTCAAGCAGTTCTCCTGCCTCAGCCTCCTGAGTAGCTGGGATTACAGGTGTGCACCACCACACCCAGCTAATTTTTGTATTTTTAGTAGAGATAGGGTTTCACCATGTTGGCCGGGATGGTCTCAATCTCTTGACCTTGTAATCCGCCCACCTTGGCCTCCCAAAGTGCTGGGATTACAGGCGTGAGCCACCGCGCCTGGCCAATTTACTCATTCTTTTGCCATCATTGCCTTCTGTTATGCCCATTCACATAGTTGTTTGTTTTTTTAAGAGACAGGGGTCTCACTGTGTTGCCCAAGCTGATCTCAAATTCCTGGGATCAAGCAATCCTCCCATTTCAGCCCCCTAAGTAGCTGAAACTACAGGTGCAAGCCATTATGGCTGGGTCAGATAATTTTTATTTTTGATACTGTAATTTTCTATTGTAGAATATCTTTTTCTTATAGTTTTTATTTGTCTGCAGACATCTCCCTTGTGTTCATTCATTATGACCATCTCTTCCTTTTAGCCCTTCAACATATTTATAATAGCTCCTGTAAAGTCATTGTCTGCTAATTCCAGCATATTGGTAATCTCAAAGTCTCTTTCTGCTGATTTCATTTTCTCTTGTCTGTGAGTCACATTTTTTCTCTTCTCACATTTTGTAATTTTTAATTAAAAATTTTTTTCTTCAAATCCCCTCTTGTGAGAAGCAATTGTAATTTTTTTTTTTTCAGATGGAATCTTGTTCTGTCGCCCAGGTTGGAGTGCCGTGATGCAGTCTCAGCTCACTGCAACCTCTGCTTCCCAGGTTCAAGCAGTTTTCCTGTTTCAGCCTCCGGAGTAGCTGGGACTGCAGGTGCCAGCCACTATGTCCAGCTAATTTTTGTGTTTGTTTTTAGTAAGGGCGGGGTTTCACCATGTTGGTCAGGCTGGTCTTGAACTCCTGACCTCAGGTGATCCACCTAGCCCTCCTTGGCCTCCTAAAGTGCTAGGATTACAGGCATGAGCCACCATGCCTGGCTAAGCAATTGTAATTTTTTTTTTTTTGAGACGGAGTTTCACTCATGTTACCCAGGCTGGAGTGCAATGGCGCCATCTCGGCTCACCGCAACCTCTGCCTCCTGGGTTCAGGCAATTCTCCTGCCTCAACCTCCTGAGTAGCTGGGATTACAGGCACGCACCACCATGCCCAGCTAATTTTTTGTATTTTTAGTAGAGACGGGGTTTCACCATGTTGACCAGGATGGTCTCGATCTCTTGACCTCGTGATCCACCCGCCTCGGCCTCCCAAAGTGCTGGGATTACAGGCTTGAGCCACCACGCCCGGCCAGCAATTGTAATTTTAAAATTATATTCTGGACCTGTGGATGACACGTTACAGAGATTCTGAATTTTGTTACCTTTCTCTGGAGAATATTGATTTTTTTTTTTCTATTAGCTAGTTAAGTTTCATGTTGAAGCTGGGTTTTGAACTTTGTTAAGGCAGGTCTGTTTCAGTGTTGCCATTAGGTCTTAGGGTAAATCTTTAGCCCTGGGAAATAATCTTACCTCCTAACTTGGTAAGATTGAAATTTCAAATTCTGTCTCTTTTTGGTGAGTTGCACTGAAGGTTCTTCTTAGCTTCTCAGCCTTCTAGATGTTGCCTGCTGCTAGTCTTATTGGAACGTTATTGGAAACTACAAATATTGTGTTTAGGGGTCTTAAGGACTTGAGGACAGTTTATACAATTGGGGGGCTCCCCACTCATATTCTTTGCTTTCTGGGCTATCCTTCTCCATGTACTGCTCTTCTGTCAACCCTGGACTCCATAACTGTAAGTTGCCCCATGCTGCTCAAACTGGTTAGTACCCTCAATGGGAAATCTGTTTAAACACAGATGTAACACAGTGTGACTCTCTTCTTTCGAGAATCCCCTCTAGTTTCTTCCTGCTTTTCATTGCCCCTCAAAACCTTCAAATAGTTGCTTTTTCATATTTTTGTCAAGGGTTTATAGTTGTTACCTGCAGGAAGGTTAGCACAATATAAACTATTTAGACATTGCTGGACCAAAATCTGTTTTTCTTATAGAATTGGGGAACATTACTGGGAATTATTTCAGCTAAATATCTATTAGCTTAAAATGTAGCCTTTTTTTGGCTGGGTGTGGTGGCTCACGCCTATAATCCCAGCACTTTGGGAGGCCGAGGCGGGTGGATCACGAGGTCAAGAGATCGAAACCATCCTGGTCAACGTGGTGAAACCCCGTCTCTGCTAAAAATATAAAAATGAGCTGGGCATGGTGGTGCATGCCTGTAGTCCCAGCTACTCGGGAGGCTGAAGCAGGAGAATTGCTTGAACCCAGGAGGCGAAGCTTGCCGTAAGCCAAGATCGAGCCATTGCACACCAGCCTAGGTAACGAGCGAAACTCCGTCTCAAAAGAAAAAAAAAATGTAGCATTTTTAGTGGATTAATAGCCAAGTAAAACAGCAGTTTTCATTTTTATTTTTCTCTGAATTTGGCTGAGTAAAATTTTAGAATATCATCTAACAGAAGTAGTTAATTGCCATTTTCCATGTTATCTGCATTTTTAAAAAGTTGTATTTGTAATATAAGAACCACAAAAGCACTTTTAATCCTCCTGGCTGAATGCTGCGGGAAGAATATGGAAACATTCCATGGAGTCAAAATGGGAAATGAGAATGAGATGAGATGTTGCTGTTTGTCAGTAATACCACTGGTCCTTTCAGTTTTCCTAGTTAAATGGAAATCTAATTTTAAATATGACAAGTAAACAGGAAAAAATTATTTTCTCCTATGAGCCAATCTCAGGAAAAAAAAAATGGACATTTGAAGTGCAAATTAGTCCACATGCATAGCTTCCCAGGCAGCCACTTAGGGGTAATAGAACCTAGGTACAGCCATATCTCCCTGGCTTATGGGGCCTGGCATAGCAGATCCATTTCTCCAGTGTCCTCTACCCTATTTTGCCATTGGCTCAGTTCATAACCTTAGATAATGAGCCTCAACTTCCTCAAGTAAACTTCCTTTCTGTCTTAGGCTTTGAAAGTCTATGGTCAGAAGAGTTTTTCATTTTCAATTTGAAGACAATCCATTGTATTAAGTAGACTTTAACATACTTAAAACGCAGATTTAATTCTTCATGTGCATGGTTTCTTTTGTTTTGCTTAAGGTTGCAATTGTAGCTCAAGACTTGGCAGCATTCCATACTGCCTCATCAGAAATGGGGCACCAGCAGCATAGCCATCACTTAGTAACCACAGAAACCAGACCTCTGACCTTAGTAGCAACATCCAATGGCACCCAGATTGCAGTTCAGGTGAGTACAAGGGCAGGCTGTCCTCAGTCGACAGCAATGCTGCTCATAGCTTTTAACTTTGTACCCTGTGCTTTGTATATAACCTTCACTGGCGGCAAGGTGCAGAATAATCTCTATCACCTAGCCTACTTTAAGAAAATTGCTGTATTTGAGGTGGACTCAAAGAGACCAGCACTTTGTTCTCTATTCGTCTTTGCATATTCTAGGGGAATTTATAGCAAGAAAAAAAACCTTCCAGGTATATATCTATGTGTGCCCTCAGCCAGGCATCTTTACTTTCAAAATAAAAATTTAATGAGGCAGGAGACTATACAGCACTTAAGAGATATTCCTTAGAGAGAAACCTGGTGGAAACACAAACCCTAAATAAGTCTTCTGAGAATCCCTGCACAGCCCCCATTTTAAAGTGGGGAATGTCAGAAGATTTAGAAGGAATCATTCTTTGGGAAGCACAGAATCTAGAATCTTAGGTGCAGCCAGGCACAGTGGCTCATTCCTATAATCCTAGTATTTTGGGTGGCTGAGGCAGGGTGGTGGCTTAAGCTCAGGAGTTGGAGATTAGCCTGGGCAACATGATGAAAACCCATCTCGGGCCGGGCACAGTGGCTCATGCCTGTAATCCTAGCACTTTGGGAGGCCGAGGTAGGTGGATCACCTGAGGTCAGGAGTTCAAGACCAGCCTGGCCATCATGGTGAAACCCCATCTTTAAAAAAAAAGAAAACCCATCTCTACAAAAAGCACAAAAATTAGCCAGTTGTGGTGGTGGGTGTCTGTAGTGCCCAGCTACTTGGGGAGGCTGAGGCAGGAGGATTGCTTGTACTCAGGAGGTTGAGGCTGCAGTGAGCCAAGATCATGCCACTGCACTCCAGCCTGGGTAATAAATGAGACCCCATCTCAAAAAATAAGAGAGACCAGTCTAGGTAGCATGATGAAATGCCATCTCTGCATAAATACAAAAATTAGCCAGGTGTGGTGGTGTGCACCTGTAGTCCCAGCTACTCAGGTGGCTGAGGTGGGAGGATTGCTTGAGCAAGGGAAGTTGAGACTGCAGTGAGCCTAGGATCACACCACTTTACCCCAGCGTGGGTGACAGAGTGAGACCCTGCCTCAAAAGTATAAGAATTTAAAATAAAATAGAATCCTAGGGGCTAGGTGCAGATTACCTGCCCTTAGGGAGAGTTTTTTTTTTCCCCCATGTGTTTACTTGATGAGTTAGAATACATTCCAGAAAATTTTGGCTGTTGGTTTTATATAATTTATGGATATAGAAGGAGCTAAAGGCTCAGGAAGCCCTCTATCTTTCTTGACTGAGGTAAGCGTCTTCTGTCTCTTGCATGTATGAAGTTTTTTTGTTTTTTGTTTTTTGTTTTTTTTTTTAGTTTTTATTTATTTAAAAAGAAATAGAGATAGGGTCTCACTGTGGTACTCAGACTGGTCTTGAACTCCTGGGCTCTAGTGATCCTCCTGCCTCAGCCTCCCAAAGTGCTAAGATTACCGTCATGAGCCACCGTGGCTGGAGTGTATGAAGATTTTGTCAAAATCCAAAATAAATTTTAGGCTGGGCATGGCAGCCGGGGGGCTGAGGTGATTCTCCCACCTGAGTCTCCCCAGCAGCTGGGACTACAGGTGCATGTGGCCATGCTAATTTTTGTATTTTTTTTTTAGCAGAGATGGGGTCTCACCATGTTGCTCGGGCTGGTCTCAAACTCCTGGGCTCAAGCAATCTGCCTGCCTCCACCTCCCAAAATGTTGGATACAGGCATGGGCCACCATGCCCTGACGAGCCCTCTTCATATCACCAGGCTCAGCTGCATCTAGGATTCTAAATTCAAAAAAGAAAAATAAATTGTATTGCATTATCATCCCCTTCAGGAAATTGTTTTGTGCTTTTAGTGATTGGGTTAGCAGTAGTATCTTAATAACCCCAAGTGTCAGAATTACAAAGAGAAGTTTTACTGCTGTCATAACATTTCCTTGGCATCTTCTTGAATGTGGCTTTTGAGTTGTTAGTGTTTGATGTTTGTGTTCCTGTTTCAGCTTGGAGAACAGCCATCTCTGGAAGAAGCCATCAGAATAGCATCTAGAATCCAGCAAGGAGAAACACCAGGGTTGGATGATTAATCCTCAGAACAATGGAGCAATAAAGCAGGAGTCCTTCATTTTCTGACAACAGAAATCCATGAAGCCCGGGCCCAGGAAAGTTAGAAGTTTTCCATTCCTGATACACTGTACACATTTTTATGCAAGAGTGGAGAAGATTTTATTCTTGACACTTTTGTGTATATAACCCTTGGAATAGATTCTCAAAGTGATTCGTTGTGTACAAGGAAGTATGAAATTAGGGCAATAGAGTAAATTTTCATGTTACTCTTTTATCAGATCACAAACTCCTAGAGTCTACATGCAAGAGTAGTAAAGTCTTATGGGAGTCTTATGATGGATTTTTAACTTCCCATGAAAAAAATAAAGGCTGTATCTAAAATGTCAAAGGGTCTATATGTCACACAATCATAATTCCAAAAGCCATTATGGATAATAAAGGATGTAAAGCCTTCAGATATTTCCCCAGTTAGTAGAGTGTCTGCGGATTTTATTCTATATATTTGTCCACTTTTATTTGTATCTTCTGGTTTGCAGACTTTGAATAATTTATAGTTTCCCATCCTTGTTAAAAGCCAGCTCTTCAAGCTGAAATGCTAATTATATTGGCATTACATTGGATTATGTGTAAAATCATAAAATTTGGTTATTTAAAATTAAGAAGTTAAATCCAGTGGTTTTGTTAAAAGATTTTGCTTAGTATTCAGTTTTTGTAACTGTTTGGAAAAAAAAAAAAGAATTATCAAAGTTTAACCACATGCTGGTGCCCGGGATAACAGTGTTGTAATTGGAAATGGCTTTACTCTGAAAATTAGGTTAGCGGGTTGGTGTAAATTATTTATTTTTGCTTATGTACTTTTGTTTTAAAGCTTACTTACCCCAAAGTTTATTATTAATTTTCAATACAGCAATTTTTAAAATGTTACTTTTATATTTATTTATTTATTTGTTAAATTGGTGGGCGTTGTGGGGGGAACGGTGCAGAAAATACCACAAATGTAATGGAGTGTAACCTAATACACATATTGAGTGTATGTTGTATGTCAAGTACAGATAAGTGTTTTTCCATATACTTTTATATATTCACAACAATTTTGTAAGACATGGATTTACTACTCTGTTTTATACATGAGGAAACAGAGTCCAGGGAGGCTGACTGTCATACCAGCCCTTGAGAGGCAGGACCTAAGCGAGAACCTAGACTTTCTGGCTCCAAATCCAATGTGTTTTCACTGCACCATGGTTACCTCCTCAGATGCTCATTTGTGGCAGAGATTATCAAGATCTTTGGTGAACTTTGGTGATTTCTGATTGCCTAATGAACTGAGCAGTAGAAAAAAACATTTTCTAATGTTGGAAATTCACCATTCATCAAGGTCAAAAAAAAAAAAGGTCTGTTCTGCAGCAGCTCCTCCTGTACTGTTGTTCACCTCACTTTGTTTGCAGAGAGCTGAAATGTAGTTTTTTCATTTCAAGCTTTACAGTAGAAAGGGGGAAACATTGTGCTGTTTTATTTAACATAAATGTTATCTTTGATCAGGTTCTTTGAACTCTTGCTAAAAAGGATCATGATTTAATCATCTGAAATAGGAAATCCTTCAGGACTGGACAGAGCTTTTCCTTCAAAACCCTTTGTAGATATATAGCATTAGCAAAAACCCTAGTCACCCACAGATCCAGTCTTCATTCTTGACAGAGACACTTAGACACACACAGAACTCCCCCCTGAGGCCCACTGAGACTCAGAAAGGGGCTGGCAGGCTGGGATAGAAGACCAGAATCTTCTAAATCGCAGGGTGGTGCCTAGCTTCCCAGTATTGGTCCTGGCTGCTGGCCAGGAGCTCCTACCCGCTGGACACATCCAGGCTGCTATGCTTCCCAGGACCAAAAACCAAGCTGTCTGCCTCCCATGGGCCCTTAGATCTGACTTTGCTCAGATTCCAGGGTGTTTCTCTTTACTCCCAGCGCTTTTGCCAGTTGGATTGGGCAGGGCTCAACCTGGACTGTGGTGAGCCTGATTATCCCTCAGCTCAAAAGAAAGTGACTTCCTACTGGTACCCAGAGAAAAGGGCCCAGGGGCACTGCTGGTTTTCCCTGACCTGCCTTCTTGGGAATGGGGCCTCAGGAGCCTAGTGAGGTGGCCTGCCTCCTCTGGAGGAAGGCTGCAGCTGGTGTGCTGACAGTTGCTAGGAAGGCTGCTGTGGGGTCTCTTCATAGTACAGGTTGCAGAAACATCCAAGGTTGAAAAAACCCAAAAAGGCACTTGAAATAGTAAACACTGGCAAACAGAGCCAGGTGGGGCATAACCCTCTGCAATTTGATCCAGACAGTGCTCAAGGAAAACCTCTCCAACCAAAAAAAACACCCTACTTTGCCCCAGACACAGCTACTACAAAGGCCACTACAAAGAAAATGTTCGTTGTCTGCAGTCTGCACTCCTTGTAAGAACTTAAGAATTAGTGTAAGGGAGGAACGTGGCTTTCTTAATTCTCTACAGGTGGCAGCTGCCCAGAGAGCCAGCTCTCTCCTTCCTCTCCTACCCACCCCCAGGCCTTCAAGGGCAAACTAACTTTGTACAGTGTCCCGTGCTTGCTGCCTGCCTTCCCACATGACAGCCCTGAGACTAGTGAAGCATCTTGGGAAATGGTGGACTCTGCTGAAACTGATGCCTCCATTTATCAACCCGCAGAATTTACTATCCAGTATTTCCTGGCTCAGGTAAGATTATAGACTAGTCAATTATTGGGAGACCTCAGCAGCGATCGGAGAGCGGGGTGTGAAAAGGAAGGGGGCAGAGCTGAAGTGTTGAAGAGGAAAAGGGAGCATGTGGGAAGTGGAGAAAAGCTGCCTCAGCCTCCTCCATGGTAAGCACTTTCTATACCTAGGTTTCCTTTGGATGAGGACGTGTTTAAGGAACACTCCAGCCAAATACTCTCTCTTCTTTTGCCTGAGGAACGGGACTGGCTTCATGAGTGTGGGACTAGTACAGCTTGAGCAAGAACCTCCACTCAGAAGGGCTCTGCATTTGGGGTTTAATGCAACATGATTGCAGTCTTCAAATTCTTTTTTTTAGTTATTTTTGAGACAGGGTCTTGCTCTGTCACCTAGGCTGGAGTGCAGTGGCGCAATCAGGGATCACTGCAACCTCCTGGGCTCCAGCGATCCTCCTACCTCAGCCTCCCAAGTAGCTGGGACCACAGGCATTCTCCACCACACCCAGCTAATTTTTGTATTTTTGGTAGAGCTGATGTTTCAGCATGTTGACCAGGCTGGTCTCAAATTCCTGACCTCAGGAGATCTTCCCGCCCCAGCTTCCCAAAGGGCTGGTATTACAGGCATGAGCCACTGTGCCCGGCTGCAGTCTTGATGTCTATCTTTGTGTTTTGTAAGTGAAGTCCCTTGTATCAACATGTGCTGGGGGCTTAGCACCTGAGCTTACACACAGCTCTACCTACTCCTACCTCCCTGAAGGGCTCTCACCACCACTTCCCCACCTGGCCTCTCCCTCCTTGCCCTCACCCTGCAACGGCTGCCACCCTCTACCCTTGGAGGGAGTCTGATCCCAATGCAGGGAGGGTTGGGGCGTGGTGGTGGCCATCCCCACTCCAGGCTGGCAGCACAACAGTGCTCTTGGTGGACAGCCAGCCTTAGTTGAGCCTTGAAAGGGGCAAGCCTCTCGCCCAGCCCTTTACTGACAATGTCCCAGCTCTGAGTTTTAAAGACACTGGTAGCCCATTTGCTGTAGGCTGCGGTGGTAGGCCTATGGGAAGGGGAGACACCTGGAGGAAAGGAAACCTGGAAGCTGTCAGACCCAAGAGAGCACCTGCCCACACGCATCTGTGAGGTCCCATGCCCTGAAGGGCTCTCTCTACCCACTCTGTGACTGGAGGAATCTTCTCTTCCTCCTTCCAACTTTCCTGAGCCTGGCTTGTGTTTGTTGTGCCTTGGAACCAGCAGGAGATAACCCTCCTGGGATGAGCCACAAAATTCGAATTGTGTAATTTTAGTGATTCCAAATATGAGATAAATATTCTGATATTTGCGTTTAAAATTGGGATTGTATAATATAAAAGTGGAGGGTAAAATTCATGCCAAAATTTTAGTAGTTTTTCTTTTTTTGAGACAGAGTCTCAATCCATTGCCCAGGCTTGAGTGCAATGGCACGATGGTGAAATCTCGGCTCACTGCAACCTTTGCCTCCTGGGTTCAAGCGATCCTCCTGCCTCAGCCTCCCGCCATCATGCCCAGTTAATTTTTTGAATTTTTGTAGAGACAGGGTTTCACCATGTTGGCCAGGCTGGTCTCGTACTCCTGACCTCAGGTGATCCACCCGCCTCAGCCTCTCAAAGTGCTGGGATTACAGGCGTGAACCACTGTGCCCAGCCACCATTCTATTTTCTGTCTCTACAAATTTGACTATTGTAGGCACCTCATATTATATTTGTCTTTTTGTGTCTGGCTTTATATGTACCCTTAAAACATGTTTTTCCTGTCTTTTGACCAAGAGGTCACACATTTTCATTTTGCACAGAGCCCCACAGATTATGTGGCCTGTCCTGCTGAGGAATGCACTTCTATTAGTCACACATCTGCAGATGTGTGACCTGTGTTTTGGGAATATATTATCTCTTGTTAGACGATGGGCTTAAGACATCTTGTAGATGATAGGCCCATCCAGGAGTTACCACTTAAAGGAGCCCATCTTGTGAGATGATGGGCTCCTTTAAGTGGTAACTCCTGGAGGCCCGGCAGAGTAGCAGGGCACCTCTAGCTGTTCCCTCCAGCTCCAAACTCATGTGGCTTGAGATATACAGAGAGATTCCTTAGTTCTCCATCCAGGAGTTTCATTTTGCTCCTAGAGCATGGCTAAAATGGAAGGACAGAAAGTCTTGCTGAGAATGAAGATGAAGAATTATCAAAATTCAAGATAATTGCATGAATCGTTAAAATTGCCTGGCAAAAGCTTTTTCTGCTCAATTTTCTGCATTCAGATTGTGAAAGAGAAACTGAATCTTGGGACTTAAATATACTATGCCAAAGGGAAAATTAAGCTTGGGAACTGAGTCATGCAAGCAAACAAACACAAAACAAAACAAAAATGGTCTTTCTTTTCTTACCAAACAGCTGTAATTTCACATGCTTACCATATCATACAAAAAACGTAGATTGACTAAGCATGAGACTAATGCATAATTGACTTTTCCTCTACCCCCTTCTTTTCATATGTGAAAAGCAGCCTCACTGAACTCTAGGCAGAGCCTCACAAGAATGTAACCATTTGCCTCACTGTCTACCCATCCTCCTTTTTTTTCCTCCCCTCATGCTTGCCCTTTCCTCTGTGAAAGGAAAATAAAAACTTGGGACCCTAATTTCACTATGCCAAAAGAAAAATATTAAGCTGAAAGCTGAATTATCCGAGAAGCTGCTTTTCCTTTTGTTCCTAAGCAGGTGGCTACAGATAAAAAGTTAAATATCTCCCCAGGTAGCTACTCTGTTCACCTTAGCTTCTGTAAACATGAATATATGATTGACTCTTCCCCTACCTGCTCCTTTTCTCTTGCTGCATGTGGATTTGGTCATGTGACCATACCCTGTGTCTTTCCCCTCCAGCCTGCTTTTCCCTTTTAAATATTGAAGCTCTCAAAACCATCTTTGGAGAAAGGCACAGACCTGTCTTCCAAGTGCCCATCCTTAGTGTTGACAACATAAGTTTCTAAATTAATTGTGACCTATCTCAGATACTTTTTGGTTTACAACTCTTGAAATATTGAAGTTCCCCAAATCCTCTTTGGAAAAAGCACAGGTCACAGATCCAATTGTGACTTGGGTTTCTTTTTCCTCAGCCTTGGCAAAATAAACCTCTAATCAATTGAGATCTGCCATGGTCACGTTTTGGTTTCCAAGATGAAAGAAAATTTCAGCTCT